GCAGTACGAGGGGGAGGAGGAGGAGGAGGAGGAGGAGGAGGAGGAGGAGGAGGAGGAGGAGGAGGAGGAGGAGGAGGAGGAGGAGGAGGAGGAGGAGAGGGGAGGAGGAGGAGGAGGATGAGGGGAGGAGGGGGGGAGGAGGAGGAGGAGGAGGAGGAGGAGGAGGAGGAGGAGGAGGAGGAGGAGGAGGAGATGAATGAAGCGCCTCACAACTTCCTCCGCCCTCAAGCGCCACTCCTGCTCGAGCGAGGTCGCCCGGGCTCCCGTGGCCCGGCCTGCCAGGCCAGGAGGACCTCGAAGCCCCACGCTTGCAGCGTGCCCCACGACGGCGACGTCGGCCCTCGGAGACTCGGAGGAGAAGCAGAGACCACCGCCACCGAGAGCCCATCGGGGGGGATCAAGCCTGGGCGGTCGCAGACATGGATCAGCGACGCGTGGATCAGCGACGGGTCCCGTTTCCGCAGAGGATCGGCATTTTTTTCAGTCGCCAGATCGGGCGACATCGGCCTCGTGTTTCGGGGTCACCTTCTCCGATCCATAGATCTGGCGCCCGCGCACTAGAGCCGCGGATCTGGCGCCCGCGTCCTCGGCCTTCCCTTCTTTTCTTCCCCGTCTTCCTTCTCTTCCTGCCCTCCCGCTGTTTGGGCCTCTTCCTGGTTCCGCGGAAGCGGTGGTTGCCTGGCCACCATCCCCTCAAGTGCCTGGCCAGCAGTGCACTTAGGATCGCTTCTCGGAGCCGCTATGTCGTCTGGGCGAGGTTGCATTTCATAGTTGACTTCCTCGTCGCTTCCTTTCCCAAGGGCGTCCTCGAGGGCGCGAAGTTATTCGCGCTTCGCGCTTCGCGGTTCGGCTCCGATTCCTCCTCGTCCTCCTCTTCCCCCCTGGGAGGCGGCGCGAGAGCGCGAAGTTATTCGCACTTCGCGCTTCGCGCAGCGCGAAGCGCGAAGTTGGGAGCCCTTGTTGACTTCCTCGTCGCTTCCGTTCCCAACGCTCCCTGCGTGACAAGAGAAAGCAGTGCGCGGCGCAGCCTCCCGCACGGGCACCGGCGTGCGGTTAGCTGGACCCACGGGCACGGTGGGGGCCGCATCGAGGCTTTGTTCTGGCGGTGGAGCAACGCCGCAACATGCAGGAGTGCTCGAGGTAAAACAAAGCACCAGATTCAAGTCGGACAGGGGGAATATCAACAAATGGTTCAAAAATAGCCTGGGGACGATGTTTTGACTATTTTTGAGCATTTTTAGTTTTTTTTGTTGGGGGGTATTTTTGTTGTTGGCCCAAAATCCCCCAGTAGGGGGACAGGCCCGACCTAACACTAGATCCATGGATCACTGCTCCATGTTTGCGTGCGCCCGGTTAAGCGTCGTCCTGTACCAGGTGACGCTCGGGCGTGCCAACCTCCCAGGGGTCGCCCGCCCCCCTCCCGATGGGTTATTGGCGGCGGTGGCATCTGTCACTCCTCCGGGAGGCCCCAGCCGTCAGTTTCTGTGCCACTGTGTTCGCAACCCTCCTGTGTGTTGGGTCCTCGTTTTGAATCCGCAGCTCCGCGCGTCCGCTCTGCTTTCCTCTCCTCTCCTCTCCTCTCCTGTCTCCCCCTCTCCTCTTCCTCAACACTCCTCCTTCTATCTCCTCACCCTTGTTCGGCGCACCCCTCACGCGCTTCGCCGCCCAATGGGGAGCTCCACTGAAGGCCCCAGTGCCAGGGTTCGCACTCTGCCTCAGGTCCACTTCGGCACACCCCTCACACGTTCCGTGGCCCTACACGGGTTGGCAGACGTTGAAAAGGCGTGGGCGCGGAGGGCGTGGTGAGACGGAGGAGCATTGAGGTGGAGATGAAGCAGGACTGGGAGGAGTTCGAGGGGAGGACGACGGGTAGCAGGAGCAGGACGGAGAGGAGACGAGGAGGATGATGAGGAGGAGCAGTGAGGGACGAGACGCAGGAGGAGGGGGGGAGAGGAGGAGGAGAAGGAGGAGAAGGAGGAGGAGGAGGAGGAGGAGGAGGAGGAGGAGGAGGAGGAGGAGGAGGAGGAGGAGACAGCAGGAGGAGGAGAATGAGCAGGACACAGAGAAGGCTGGGTGGGTGGGCGAAGAGGAACAGGAGAGGAGAGGCAATCCTCCCTCCCCTCACCCTTCTCCTCCCCCTCGTCGTCCCCCACCTCAGCCTCGTACCCCTCTTTCTCCTCCTCCTCCTCCTCGTCCCGCTTTATCGCCCTCCCCCCCGCCGTCCTCGTGGAGGAGCGGGGGTGCGGGAGAGCATCGAGTCTGGCCGTCGCCGCGGGCCCCGCCGCGCCAGAGCGGGCAAGGCCCCCCCCCCCGCACCCGCCGACCCCACGACCCCGAGGGAGCGCCATGAGCGTCGAGGAGCTGTCGGCGAAGCTGGGCAGGCTGGCGGGCGGCACCACGCAGCTGCAGAAGGTGGGGGAGGAGGAGGAGGAGGAGGAGGAGGAGGAGGAGGAGGAGGAGAGGAGGAGGAGGAGGAGGAGGAGGAGGAGGAGGAGGAGGAGGATCAGGAGGAAGGAGGAGGAGGAGGATCGGGAGGAGGAGGAAGGGGAGGTCGTCAAACGTCGAAAGAGGCGTCCGGCTGTGCGCGCAGTCTGAGGGGCGGGCTGGGTGGCGCGAGTACCATTTCCGCCACCAGCCGCCCATCCCCGAAAGGGTAACCGAGACCATGAGAGGAGGGCGGGCAAGGCTAGGCAAGCAGGTCGTTCCGAGCGAGATGCCCGCACCCCCCACGGGGCAACGCGCACGGCGGCGGCGGGCCTTCTCTCGACGGCCTGCCGCTTCGCGCGCGGCTGCCGCGCCCGCTCGCGGTTGGCCGCCCTGCGGTCTCTCGGGGCAATGGGTGGGTGGGAGCGGGGCGTGTCTGTGTGTGTGTGTGTGTGTGTGTGTGTGTGTGTGTGTGCGCGCGCGCGCGCGCGTGTGTGTGTGTGTGTGTGTGTGTGTGTGTGTGTGCGTGTTTGTGAATGACCTCCGTTGCTGATTTTATCTTTCAATGTGCCCGCTGCCGCTTTCAGCTCATAGGTATTTGAACACAACGCGGACTGTAGGACAGTGGAGAGAGGGTAAAACCTTGATCGTTGTCCTCCACAGCAGCGTTACTCCCTGCACCGACGGATACTCCTCGGGAAGGGATCGGCCCTTCGGCCACTCCTTTCCTCGCACAGGGGGCGGGGGCGGGGGCCAGGGGAATACAACAGAAGGCGAATGAGGGGAGCCTGCCGCCCACGAGCGAGTTGGCTCCTCTTAGGCGCCCACGAGCTGCGCCACCATGACTTTTTCATCTTCAGCCGCTAACTCGTCTGGCTCGGGCTGGGTCCAGCGAGCTGTCGCGCTCGGGACCCACTCGTGGTCAGACGCTGGGTACGGAAGCCTGCAGCATCAGACCAGGAAGCGAAGAATTCGATCATCGCGGCTCTGTTCCCTCTGAACCCTGACGGGACGAACCGTCCGCATCAGCATCAGGGGAGGGTCTCGATGATATATTGGGCTGACGCAGCACAGAGGCCGAGGGGGGTACATCTTCTTGGAGGTCGTATAGCACGTCCCTTTTCCTCTTTGTCGAAAAACATATGTGAGCCCTAGGGCCATGAGAACGGTTTCCAGGCCTTGGAGTGGCCGTCACACGCTCGTGCCAGATAGGCATGCGGAGACAACCGATATAACCAATCTACGTGGGGGTCCTGCCGTGAGTGCTAGGATCTGTACTGAGGGCCTGGTTCTTACACTGGGCGACCAACGTCATGGTCGCGCACTGTGCCACCCTCACGAGACGGGGGCCCTGGGGGCCCAGCCAGGGGGTGCGGGGTGCTCAAGCCATGCGTTCGCTCCCGCACGCACTTGCTCCGCCATGAGGCGGACTAACGGGTGTAACAGCATACTGTCTATTCTCAGTTGTTCGGACTGGCGATCTGTAGCCCAAGGGACTCTCCAGACATGCTCCGAATGCCCGAGGGGGGGCTCTCATGCCACCGCCGAGCGGACCAAGTCTCGCAGGTTCCCCTCCCCACTGTGTTCATTACTGACTTGGCCCTGATGTGGTCAACCTGCTCCAAGATAGGACCCTCACAAGTCAAATCTCCACGGATAGCATCGGTACCAACACAGTTCTCAACATGCACAAGTCAACGGAACTAGTCAACGGATCTTGTAGGCACATGCGGCTCAAACGGGCGTTGCAGGTCGCCTCGCCGCCGACGACCGTTGAACAAGTGCAGCGCAAACAGTGTGGGTCTGTAAATGTGGAGCGGAATAGCTTCACATGCAAGGCCAGAGAAGTCGCCGAGACGGTACGGAAAGAACGGAGCATCCAACAACGGAGTTTTCATCTCAGGCAGGGAAGCGAAAACATCCAGGCATGCAGAGATAGACCCGTAACCCATTGCCTAATCACATTCTAGGATCATTTCCTTAGCCGCATCCTCAGTGAGCATAGCTAGAAAGGGCGCGATGCTCTGGGGGCGGAACGTCATCTTGCCGAGCAGCCGTTAGCAGCGCTCTCCATCTCTCCAGCCCAACACGCCTTTGCATTAGTATCCTCTGAGTCTCCTAAGTATAAAGCGCATTGATCTCATGCGCGGAAGCTTGCGGACCCATCAAGGATAGTCCCATGGAACACTTCGGAGCGTCAAAGACGACGTGCCCAGTCAATGCAGACCGGTGCCTACATTTCGTGAAACACGCGGGTCAGGAAAGCGACGGCCCAAGGACAACGTCGAACCTGAGCGACCCGAGAATAGTGTTGCCGAAGCATGCGCAAGAGAAGTTTACGCGGGCGATCCAACGCCTCTGAGCGCTGGACAACACCAGACCTTCGCATGATCCTGCTTATCTTGGCGAATGAGATGTTGCGGGTTGCCGATGGCAAATGGCGCGCCAGCATCTCTGAGCACTTCGAACATAGCCATCTCTGCCGCCGCTGTGAGAGCACATCTCTGAACATACGCGCGCGCGACTTGCGTGGCTCGGGCAGCCGCTTCTCGAGCTGAGGGCGACCTGGTAAGGAGCTCCCACCAACACGACCAAGACACTTCACGTGCATTGAGATGGCGCAGACGAGGCCAGCGCGAATCTTCGACAGTCTGGTGCCCCCAGGACCTGAGACACGCGCGACGGCGCGCAGCAGTGAGGGCGAGAATCTGCGTCGGCCCCGCGGCGAAGAAGCGTCGAAAAAGTCGAAGCCTTTGAGTGCTGAGCGACGCAGCTCGAGGGGGCTTGTCAGCAGCTGCAAGAACCGTCGGGCCATCCGCTGCAGGAGCATCCTTCCTAGGCGTCTTGGTAATCGCACGATGGTGACGAATCGCGTCTTTCACGAGCGTTCTGAATTAGGCCTCCGAGAGACATTCCCAAGCCCCCGCCTGAAAGAGCTTCCCCGAACAGACTAGGGAGTCCAGGAGCACCGCGGCAGCAGGCTGGCGGGAGATGCAGCAGCGTAAGCTTTTCCAGGCATTGTCGCGCGATTGGCGCACGGAACAGCGTTCGCCCTGAGCGGTGCCAATGTGGACGTATTGGCGAGCGCCGTTGATCTCCAGGGCACCGGCGATGGCCGTGGGGAGCCGAGAGGGCCCGCTGAGTTTCTCCCGAGGACGACGCCTAGCCTTGATGGCCCCAGAACCATTGATCACAGGCGATGTCTCGCCCCCCACTCCCGACTTTCCCACGGCAAATTGGGGCCGCGGAGACGGGGAGGGCATTCTCGGGGGCGCGTTCCAGGGGAACTAATCGGAGGGGGGGCGCGCCCCAGGGGGGCTGATGCCTAGAGGTTGACACCAACACCAATTTCGGCGGTGTGCCTCCAACGAGGGAAGACGATCCCGATCTCGGTGATGGTGGTAATATTCTGGCTTCCAAGGTGGCCAAAATGTTACCACCAACACCGAAATCTAGGATCATCTTCCCCATGTGGAGGCAACACCCTGTGTTGGTGTTGGTGCCCATTTCCAGGCCTCCAAGATCGGGCGCGCGCCTATCGAGGCTGGGCGCAAACCTCCGATGCTGGCTCTGCTCTCTCGGCCCTCCGAGCGGCGCCGCGAGGCGCCGCCGCGCCGCCGGTCGCGGGGATCGGCCCCTGGGCCGGTGGAGCGCGTCGTCCGTTCGCTCGTTCGTTCTCTGGCCTGGGAGCCTCTCCCTCCCTCCCTCCCTCCCTCCCTCCCTCCTCCTCCTCCTCCTCCGCCTGGGAACCCAGCCTCACGAGGCCTCGTCTCGACGTCTTCGTTCGTTATAGATATGTACTATCTCGCTCGTGAGGCTGCTCGAGGTCTCGTTCGTTGGGCTGCCCGAGGCGTCAGCCTAGCGAGCGAGATCTTGGTTCGTTCGTTGTCTCCTGGCCTCCGGCGCCCCACGAGGCGGCACGGGCGGCAGCGTGGCGGGCTTCGGCATGCCCCTTCCTTCCTCCTTCCTCCTTCCTCCTTCATCCTTCCACCTCCCTCCCTCCCTCCCTCCCTCCCTCCTCCTCCCCCCTCTCCTCTCCTCCTCCTCCTCCTTCCTCCTCCTCTCCTCCCTCCTCCTCCTCCTCCTCCTCCTCCTCCTCCTCCTCCTCCTCCTCCTCCTCCTCCTCCCCCCCCTCATCCTCCTCCTCCTCCTCCTCCTCCTCCTCCTCCTCCTCCTCCTCTTCCTCCCCCCCGAAGCGCGGGGCGCCCACGAAGCACAATTCTGCGAGAACCCAAAATCCACAACCAGTCACCTTGCGCTTGAAGAAGCAGGCTCAAGCACCCGGAGTGCAGACGCGGTTTGTGAATTCGTGGGACACGGGTGCTGGCCATAGTGCTCGTTGAGATTCTGGAGACCAGACGATCTTCTTGGGACTCCTTTGCTCCTCTTGAGGATGCATCGGTAATATTATGGGCCCTTCTTGGGGCCCTTTGAGGCGATCTTGGGGCCCTTTTGCGACTTCAGAGGCTCACCGGACGCGAAAAGGCAAGATGCTGAGCACCATTGAAACATCGACGACCCTCTGACACCTCGCATCCTCCTTGTTCACACCCAGGGAATTGGTTTATGTAGGGTGACGATCGAGAAATGCCTGAGGAGTCCCAAATTCTTGCTCAGCGACAGGAAACTATGGTTCGAATGGCCCCCCATTGTTTTTCCTTGGTCGGCATCCTACATCAGGGAGAGGCGCGCACCCTCCCCGACGAGGAAGAAGGACTGACACCCGCGACTGACACCCGCTCAAGCCAACTAAGCCGAGCGGACTGTTGGGATAAGGAGAGGGCAGGAGAGGTGCCGACAGGGAGGAGGGAGGAGCAAACGGGAGGAGGGATGAAGGAAGGATGGATGGAGGAAGAGGAACAAGAGATGGAAGGATGGGGAGGCGAAAGCTGGATGGAAGGAAGGATGTATGGAGGAACCAGGATGGAGGAAGAATGGATGGATGACGCAGGATGGAGGAAGAATGGATGGATGGATGGATGGATGGATGGATGGATGGATGGAGAGGAGATATGATGACGGCATCTGAGGAAAGAGGTGGACGAGGGAAAGGGCGAGGGGGAGGGCCAGGATGAGCGGGAGCAGGAGCGGTGGCCGGTGAGTGTGATGCCGCTCGTGCGGATGGTGATGGCATTGGTGGTGCCGACGAACAGCTGTAGTGATGGTGATGATGATCGCCACCACCATCAACAGTGTCAGCATTACCGTCATGATGACGAGACGGAACATGGGGAGCCAAAGGAGGATGACCAGGAGGAGGGTGAGGAGGATGAGGAGGAGCAAGGCGGGGGAGGTGGGCGCGGCCGCAGAAGGTGACCTGGCTGAAGAACCACCTCGCGAAGTGGGGCATCACCAGGGCGGGGCACCAGGCACCCTGGCTCGGGTTGCAGAGACTGCGGCCTCTCGCCACGGCCATCCTCTCGCTCCTTCTCCTGCCTCCTGCCGTGGCTCGGTTGCCCTTCCCACCTTGGCTGCATGTTGCCCGAGCGCCCAGGGCTGGGGGCCACGCAGTACAGGCCTGGCCGTTGGTGGGTAGGCCTTCCACCTGTCCTGCGTGTGCCCCGGCTGTCAGGGGCCAAGGGCCGCGGTTCGCAGTGTGGGCCGTGGGAGGTCCGGCATTCCACCTCGGCGTGCAGCCTGCCTCCCACTCTCTCTCTCTCTCTCTCCCTCTCTCTCTCTCTCTTTGTATGTACATATATATATATGTATATATATATATTTATATATAGATATGTAGGTCTGTAGTTATGTATAAGTATGGTCCCCCTTGTTCTGCACACATTATACATGCATTGTCAGGTCTCCGAGGTGAGGGGGTGAGATCGCCGCGGAGCGGAGAGCCCCCCACCGTCCCCATCGGTTTCGGTTTGGGTTCGTGTCGCGCGCGCGGGCGATGCGAAGTTGCCTGGGCGGGCGAGAGGAACGAACCCTCCTGTGTCTAGGGCGCCGCGTGGCCGACAGGCCGCCTCCCCTCCCCTCCCCTTGGGTGGGACGGCGGTGGCCGTCGTGTCCCGCCGTGGTGTCCCGATGGTGTCCCGTGGTGGCCCGTGGTGGCCCGTGGTGGCCCGTCGGTGTCCCGTGGTAAGATCGATTCTGGGATCGATAGAGAGATCGACTGCGAGGTCGATCGTGAGCTCGATCGTGGGATCGATGGTGGGATCGATGCTGCGATCGGTAGTAAGGATCGATAGTGACATTGCTAGTGCGATCTACAGTGGTATCGATGGTGAGCTCGATCGCGAGATCGATCTTGAGATCGATAGTGATAGCGCCGCTCGACAGTCTACTGCGAGGAGTTCTCGCAGGTTGTGTATGCGGGCCGCCTCGAGCAAGTGGGATACCAGCGCATATGCGGGGCAACGATCGAGGACGAATGGCGAAATGGCACTGGAAGAAACACTGGCGCGAAGTACATGGGCGCGGAGCAGGAGCATCCCAGGACCAAGACACGGTGTCTTGCCTGCAGGTGGTTCGCCGTCCCGTGGCAGATAGAAGTTCCGAACCAGCATAGCAGTCTTTGGCGAAGGAGCTGTTGGAGGCCATGGTTCCAGAGGCCGTGAAATGCCAGCAATCATCTGCGAGAGTCAGTCGTGCGGGCAAAGCTTTGGAGCAACAGGACAAACTCTGGACGCGCACGCGTGAGGAGCACCAGAAAGCGATGTACACCTTGCAGAAGGCCACCGAGGAGCTGGTCGAAACAGAGGCGGCGGAGGTGGCAGCAGCTCAGGAGGTCATCCCGCCCAAGGACCAGGCCGAGGAGGGCCACAGGACCACCGTGGACGTTTGGCATGGCGCTCGAGGAGGGTTTCCAGATGCACTTTCCTTTCCGCAAGTTCCTGGAGGGCTTCGGGCTCCAGGATCGGAGGCGGCAAAGAGGGGGGTGATGACTAGGGGGGGATGGATATCATGGCATGGGCCATGATATTTCCTAAGATTTCATTGCGCCTCTTCTTATTTCACTACGTCCCCAGCCCCCCCCCCCTGGGCCGCGCACATGCCGCTGGTCATGATGTGCCCCCCACCCTCTTGGACACCCCCTTCTTGGCCGCTCCCGACAGGAGTTGGACAATCAGATCGTGGAAAAAGAGACGGCAGCAGCCAACGCCATCCTCCAGGAAACGCTCGAGCAAGCCATAGGTTCCCTCAAGTCGGATCTCGAGAAGTGCCAGGGTGGGATGGCCGACGTGGCAGGCAGACAGACTTGCGAAGATGCGCAAAACGAGCGATGCAGGGGCTCCCGTTGCTGCCCCTGGCGCTCCTCTTGCTCCAGCACCTGCACCAAGCCGGGCCTGCTGGAACTCCTCCTGTTCAGGTCCTGATGTCCTTCTGCTTCAGCACCTGCCCCTGGTACTCCTCCTGCGCCGGGGCACCGGGCCAGCCCTCAGAGGTCGGGCCCGGAGGAGCCGACTGATGGAAGAGGCGGACAGAGAGATTGCCAGATTTCGCAGTGAAGCGAAGTCTGGGTGGCACGATGATGGAAGACAAAGGATGGTTGTACATGCGAAGTCTGTTCAAGTTCGGCCCCACAGGTGTCTGAGTCCCTTGTAATCCCATGGACAAGCTACCAGGGAGGAGAGCGACGAGCATCGCAAGGAATGGTCCAAAGCATGATACACCAGTGGTTGCGCCGAATCACGCGCCAGAGAAGAGCATCAGACCAGGAGGCATTTCAGTCGGGTGCAGGAAGCATTTCCATTTCGAGATATCCAGACATCTTGTGCGAGACGGGGCCCATGTCATTTGAATCAGATGCGTGAACCCACAGCAGCGACCAGCATGCAGCGGAGTGGTCTTCGACGTTTTCGTCGGCTTCCAGACAACAGTGGTAGGCCGCGGCAGGCCCTGGGTTGAAAGGAGTCGACGCAGCAATTTGCAGGTCTGGGATCAGTGTTACAGTTCTTGATGACGCCGTGGCTGGTGATAAATAAAGTTTCTGGAATTGTGATCCAGAGGAACTAGAAGTCAGTGGTTGGCCGCGCCTTGTCGAAGGCCAGATACGTGCACCAAGGAACGCTATGCGCTCTCCCTGCTTTGATAGTGTTGGGCTATCTTCTAGCCTCTCGCTGTGTCTTGCAAGCCATTCAAGACTGAGCCGTGGGCGCTCGCCATGCTTCAGAGTTGACAAGGTGCGCTGCGGGCTGCCGGTCAAGCTTCGCCTCAGTCTGAGAGAGTTTCCCCGCTGAGCGCATGTTTGTTGCCCTGGCCTTTCTTTCTGCCAGGCGCAAGCAGCAAACCGGATGAGCGACCGAACCGCGAGAGAATTCTTCGCGCGGCAGTGCAGCAGACACAGGGGCCTGAGGAGCCAACTGAGACTATTCGTCAGCGTCTCTCCGAGCTGGGAGGCTATCGAAACAGATGCGTTCAACGGTGGGCGTTTGTTATCATTATTTTGTCGATCGGCGCTGGCCCTCGCCCCCCCCCCCGAGGAGTAGATCTTGTTTTTTTGGGGGGGCGCCTTTTTCGATCGGGTGGGGGCCCGCCCCCATCGGCCGCGTTGTCCCAAACATTCGCGCTAAGCAGAGGTCCAGAGCCAGACCCCCCCATCCCCCTCGCGCCCCCCAATGTCGAAGCGCCAAATAACAAAAATCGAGCACGAGAGGCTTCCACCTCTCCGATTCCCGTGCCCCGAGGGCCACTTCAGGGGCGGGGCGGGTGTCGGAGGACAGGAGCTCGTCGACATTGCCGGAGAGGGGGCGGGTGGGGTCTGCGCGCGAGCCCGGCGCAGCCCTGCCTGGGTTCCAGCGTCTCCATCCACGAACTATGGCGTGGCAGAGAGTTGCCGGCCGCGCCTGGCAGCCAGTGTCGGCCGCCGGGGCATAGCGCAGAGTCCAGAACAGTAGAGTTAGATGAGCTGGGGGCCCTGGCAAGTGGGGGGATTCATGGGGAGATTGCATTCAGGCTCGAGGCGTTTCACACGTGGGCGTTCAGGGGCCGAGGGGCCGGCGGGATTTTCACTTCGAAACCGGGTGCGCAGGGGCGCAGCTTTCGTCTCGGGCTCGGACCCAATGTGGCACCAGTGGGCGAGCATCACTTTGCTGCTAAGTGAACTGGCCACGGGATATTGCGAGCGGAATGCCAGGTTCGAGTCGCTGGAGGCCATGGGCAGAGAGCTAACCAATTAGGTCCCCTCCTCCGTCGATGCCTCTTACCTCGCTGTTCTGGGGTCTCTGGCGGGGTGGGCTCGAACGCATCGATCAGGCCGCGGATTCGGCGGTGCCATATTTTGCAAGCGACGCTCGAGGCGACGCGATCAGGGCCCGCGGGCCACTCCAGCACCAGAGCCAGCGAGCTCTCACTGTATGGTTTTCGAAGCGAGGCCCTTGGGGGGGCGGGGGGCGGGGCGCGGGGCCGACGAGCCCAGGCCTTGTTTCTGGCGGGGAGATTCGCTGCGGAGAGGCAGTTGCGCCAGATGCTTGAGGCCGCGCGGGGCTGAAGGCGGGGTGGGGCGTGGGTGGCGCCCGATTCTCGTGGCCCAGTTGAGGCGGTGGCTCTGGGGCGGGAAGCGCAGGGCAGAGCGATCCAGAACTCGTTGGGGACGCCAATTCCAGAACGCATTCAGTTGTGGCCGAGATGACAGTCGCGCGAATGGTGCCGATCTGCCATGCGCGAGAGATTCATGTTTCCTCCCGCCGTCGGCTCTAGCGGGGCTTTTCTGTTTTTGAGTCAGGAAAACAAGTGGTGGAGTTGCTGTCCATGGCAGCTTCTCGAGGCGATCGTTGCCAGGGCCATCGGGCGCCCGCCGCCCTTCCCGGGCGCCCGGGGCGCGGCCCAAATTTCGAGCGAGCGGCCCGTCGCGTGGAGAGGGCAGGGCGCCGAGGCGCGCGGCGGCAGGGCCCTCGGCCATGAGAGCGGTGCCGCGGCGGGCGTTCCAGCGCGAATGCGCGGACAGCTCAGCCAGATGCAAGTTTAATTTGGGACGTGGAAAGATTGTGCGTCTCCTTGGGAACTGTTGGTAGAGGGGGCGCTTGCCGCGGGTTTCGCAGCTTTGCGCCGTGCACGTGAAATGCACATGCGCGCGCCAGTGGGGCTTCTCCGGGATGGGGGGGGGTTCTCGGGGAGGGTCCGGCCGCGCCCTTCGCTCGTGCCGGGC